CAATTTCCACACCCCACTTCACGAAAAAAGTTGTCCAGCCAGCCTTCAACTTGGCAACGGAATCAAATCTCCGTAGATACGTACCGAAATCTACGTACTATAGTAGATACCTACCTCCCGGAGAGGCGATCGCTGCTGTGCCCCATAACCTCCCCTGTCGTGTAGTTGGCGATGGCGGGCGTCTCCGGAGCGATATCCTACGGTGCCCCACAACAAGCGCACCGGACAGCATGCACCAGGGTGCACCACACGAGAGATGAGATAGAGAGTGAGGGTTTGACGATGAAAGCGGTACGCCCAAACATATGTGGGAGCGAAAATAATTTTTACCGCGGAGCCCCCCTGCGCAGCCTTGCGAAGGGGGAGTGCTTTAACCATTCACGACGTCTCTCCCCACCGCAAACAATGAACACTCCGAACTCGCTGTCTACGAAATATCTACCGCGTGCTCGCTGGGGGGGGTGAGAGGTTTGATTTTACCATGAGGTTGATTTACCTTGAGCTTTAGCCCTTTCAGAAGCCCCAAGACGCCCGGAAGGCCCTTCTTCTTGGCCTTCCCTAGGTTGAGAAGGCGGTTCCTGTGTGCCGGACACGCGCGGGATGGACACGACGGATCAGTTGGCTGCTGCTTGCTGACTTGCCGATCGACACAGCGACCGAAAGCTGTGTGCCACCAAGTAGCAAAAAAGCTCGAATCAAAGCAGTGCACGCGCCCCCGAACAACAACGTCTAAACGTTGAGTACCAGCGAAAACAACGAAAATTCCTAGGTTGCTTGTTTATTTCACCCCCTCGGGAACGATTTTTGTTGTGGAAGGATAAATGTCGTGGCTGAAACAACGAGCACGCGGTGGCGGAATAGCGCTTGTTCTTTGAGTGCACCGCGGGGGCAGGACGGCTGACTGTGTGCCTTCCTCGGGTGAGTGAAAAATGAAGGGAGGCGTGCACCTCAGAGGAATACCACTCTTCTGTGTGTGGCATCGGATGGGCTCTCTCGGTAGGTGAGGAGCCAGCACACGGTAAACAGAGGCTGCGAGCTGTCTTGGACAAATTGGATGACAAAAAGAGGCTGCGAGCTGTCTTGGACAAATTGGATGACAAAAAGGGGCTCCGTGAAATGCAGGGAAAGGCTCACGACAAGGACACCACGCAACCAATACCAACATCTTCCAACAAATCACCGACACCTGCATGAAAGATCAGCAACTACATAACGAGAGCCCATCGGTCATGGATGCTGTGCGGCGTACCTGATTGGCCGCGAGAAGCGAATAGGTAGGTCCGAAAACGTCTCCACGCCACCAGCGAGCACGACGTCGGCGGTACCGGCGAGAATCTTCTCGGCACCGTTACACATGGCCTGGTTGGCTGAGGCGACAACGGAAATAAACAGCACGACAATCAATGTACACGCCAAGAGAGAGGAGAGGGGTTAAAAGAAAAGCGCGGGAGAAAAAACGGTTTGTGGTGGGGGTCGATACGGCCACAAAAGGGGTAGGACCCGGCAATAGAGGCAACGCATGTGGACGGCGAGTGGCGTCAACAACACAATAGCCTACGCGGCCAACAAAAAGGGCGAGCACCAGGGTTTGCACCTTCCCCCGCCGCCTGATCCCATGGTCACAAATCAAGAGAGGAAAAAAGGGGGTAGGAACTTTTACGTTCGTCCATATCTCTGCGACAAGGGTAGCAATCTACGTCCGTAAGGGTAGGAACGACGACATGGCGATTCGGCCATAATGATCTATACGATATGATTCAGAGCCGTTGTGTTGGGCAGAGCTCAGATGCTAGGATCGCCGGTTTTACGGAGCACTTTCGTGATGAGCTAGCCCCGCGCGTCTTGTGCGACCCCTGCGGGATTCTTCGCATTTTTCGTTTTTTACTGTCTTTCGCGGCGGCGTGGACCGCGAGAGATGAGAACAAGCGAGACAACATCAAAGAGAAAAGACAAAATTGTTCTCTATGCGTATCGAGTAGAAGAAAAAGCAGCCGATATCAAGTCTTGTAAAAAAACAAGCCAATTCACTTGGTGAACTCGGCAACCAGGTGCCTTCGGCGAAGGGCGCGAGCCTCTACAAAGCCAAACCCGACACAAGGAAACATGAAAACAAGGAACAAAACACGCAAAAGCCTGCGGACAGCAACGCGTCCTACCACGCAACACGACCCAAAAAAAACAACGCACCACGTTACAAGAAGAGAGATGTCAAACTTCGATGGAAAATAATATCTAACATCTCGATCAATCGCGGCATCGCACGGCACACCAAAAACATCGAAAAAAACGTTTATTTGGTTCCCGCTCACAGCAAGGGGGGGCCATCCGCCATTAACGGCGGTCGAAAACGGCATGGACTTGCACGGGGGCGACGCAGACAACCCACCAGAAATACACGCCTGGCTGACGGTGTGAGAGGGGACGGAGACAGGAATCCCCGCCCCCATCCCGGCTTCGCGTGCAATGTTGGACGTTCTCGACTCCTGAGAAACGAGACAAAGGCAAAGCGAGCCGCGAGTTTTGAAGGGAGTCGACGACAGCAGCAGATGGCGGACAAAGAGAAACGATAGCTCGTACGCTAAGGTGAACTGGTGCACCGTGAAATCGGGCAATACAAAATGGCCGTTGGCCCGGTTTCCGCGTGAATCACTTCTAAATTATCTCGTGACCTGCGCCTAGGATGTAGTGCGAGCTCGCCGTTGGCGTGTCGATCGAACGCCTCCCCCCCTCAAACAAGCCTTCAAGGGATGACACCCCAAGCAGATTCAGCGGTACAGGCAGCCCGCAACGTGCACACTAGTAGCGTGTCAAGAAACGCTTTTTCGAGGCCCCTCCTGTGTTCCTGTGTTCCTTGAACTAGAATTATAAATAAACGCCTCTTTCATCATGTACAGCAGTGGTGCTTCAGAACGAGAATTGGCAGAATCGCACAAACTTCACGGCAGTCTTGTCAGCGTTTCTAGAAGCAGGCGTAAACACCGCACGTCTCTACACATGGTAAGAAAACGTTAGCCGCGTAGTTCCGTCTCGCGTGCTGCTGCTAGACACTGCTGTTGTTAGTGAGGCCTACCACGGGCTGGTCGTTTTTTGCACCTGGATGACAGTCCCGAACAGAAGGTAGTCGACGTCCTTGGGATCCAGCTCCGGATTCCTGTTCAGCAGCCCCCTCAGGGCGAGCTTGCCGAGGTCAACAGCGAGAAGATCCCTGGGTGGGGCGCGCAAGAGGTTATTGAAAAGTTGTTACAGACGGGGATGCTTCTTGAGGAGAGTCATGCACAGAAGGGCAAGTTGGAAGGGGGTGCGCATGGTTGGGAGAGTTTTTCATCTAGACAAGGAGCAGAGGTTAAGGACAAGCCAGAGATGATTGTTACTGGGGAGAGGGGTGATCTAGAGATTCAGGCAGGCTTATACTTAACCCTGGGAATAATGTGCAATTATCCACGAGGATGATGCACAGGAACACGGAACCCCAGCGGAAAACCTACAAGACTTATTAGCTGGTTGCCGCTGCCTGTCTGAGTGGCATCGCATCCTGTGCAACCCCCCAAGTTACTTGATCTGTGAGGACAACATTTTCTGGCGCGTGTCGATCCCGTGAGAAGCCGAGTGCCACCACCCTGTTTTGTGGTGCTGTCGGTGCTGCAGGTCAAGGGGTGTACAGTAGCGCTGTACCTAAGAGTGGGACCTTGTGCCACATAATACGGAGTTCAGAGAGTGCGGAGGGCAGATCTCTGTCTTGTGTCGGTGTGCTGTCAGTAAGGATCTCACCGCAAACAGTGCGGAACTCTGTCAACTCAACAAAGGAACCGCTCAGCTCTGGCGCCCTCGAGGGTCCATTTGGTACACTATGTGTCCAGCAGTAGTTCTGTGGTAATGATACAGCAGTAGTGGAGGTACGAGTACACAGGTGTACCTGCTGTATTACATCTGACCCCTGACACAGCTGCAGTACTGTCAGCAGAATCTAGTCGACGAACATTTTCTTCTGAAACCGACGGTTATATTTCGAGGTGTCCGGTACATGCAAACCCATGAGTCTGAGGGATAGGTGTATTAACAGCTCAATGGCTCGTGCATAACTCTGGCTGCTCAACTGCTGTGTATGCTACCGTTGCATCTGCATTGGGTGCAGATGCGGAGAGATATGTAACCAAAAACCAAAACTTCAACTGCAACCAAAAACGGCGGAGGTTCCCATATCAACTTGTAGATCGCGCCGTTCCCATTCACTGTGGATGCTATAGATCTTCTCTCCCACACAAACGAAGCGCACGCTGCGGCAGACGGTTTCCGCACCGGGACCTGCGTGCACAACAGCAGTTACTCCATGGGTCTACATCGCAGCATCGCTGCAACGTTCGTTCCTGTTCGTCGGGCGGATGTTCTCAAATCCACAGCGCAATAACCCGCTCGCGATCCACTTCTGTCACTACAAGACGCGAGCTTGTGGTGAGCGAGGCAAGAACGCGAACACACCGGAACGACGAGCAATGCTAGCTCACTTGTATGTGGTGCCACTCAAGACGAAGGGGATGCGAGCACCGTCGACGAAAACGGGCTTTCTGCTGCTGCTGCTGCTGCTGCTGCTCGCTGAAGACGAGTTCGCTCGGCGGCCGCAGCTAGCTCTTGCTGCTGCTGCTGCTGCTGCGCGCGAGGACACCATCGCGGCTCGCGCCGATCGCATCGTCGCGGTGACTCCTTGGTGAACCATGGCCTTTCTGCAGTGTGCGTGGGCGAGAAACAGATAGAGAGAAGCACAGAGAAGAGAGACAGAGCTGCTGTGCTGAACTGCTGTGAAGTCGGGCGACACACGAAGGTCGGAAATTTCAGGAGCTCCGTCAGTTCATTGGCACTGTGAGCTGGGTATGTGCAGGTTTTCCAGCTTGCGTGCTCCCAGCAGCAGCGACACCGCAACACCGCCGTCGCTCACACACATTGTGTGCTCTTGTCTCCCACGCAGCAACTGAGTGGTCGAGACTAGCTCCCGCGCATACTACTGGATGCCCGGAGATGCGGTTCATCGTTTGCTCTTAGCGGTGAGCGGGATGCTCTCAGCTCGGACGCTAGCGATTGCCGGAGGAGGAGGAGGAGGGCAATCGATGCACCTGCGCTCATCCTACTGCACCAACGTGCTGCATCATGCGACTGCCCGGCAATCGGCGCTGCTGTACACACCCCAGGCGGGTCGTAGGATGACCGCATTTTTGAAGCCAAGTGGTCCCGTGAGTCGTGCCGGTGAGTGCTGCTCTCCACTACCTGTGTGCGGTTGTTGTTGAAATTGAAAATTCACATGTATGTCTGGAGCAGTATGTACGTTGATTGTACGTACATACATGCAATACATGCGGTTGCTTTCTGCCGTGTGTACGTCTCTAGAGGGAAGCATACAGCAGTAAGCTGAATGGACCACGCGTACAACGCATGTACCCCTTGACATGTGGAGAGGTGTGTCGCATGTATCAATCGTCTAAAGTCTGAAGTTGGAAGTTGCTGATGCAGAGAGGACGCAAAGAACCTCAACCTGCAGTCCAACCGTTTTACGTTGCACCGCATCGAATCGGCTGGGGGCGGCAAAGTCGTTGTCGGTCGTGTCGTTCACCAATCGTCAAGTTTGTCAAGCGTCAAGGCTGTCTGTCAGGGGATGTGGCGTGGTCAAGACGAAGGGTCTCCTGTCCCCGGGCCAATAAAAACGCCTGGGTGGGTACGGGACTTACGGGGGGTCATCACCACACACAAATACAATGTGCACCACACAGACCAGCGGGCAACGCCGATTTAGGCAGTAGTCTGAGTATAAACCTACATTGAACGAATCGAACCGTGCCCCAGATGGCGAAGCGCTGATTGGCAAATATGAAAACCGCCCCATTGGGTAAAGTTGATGAATACGCAACGCGGCTGGAAGAGGGAACAGGGGATTCCAAGTTCCCTCTTTCATGTTCCCATGTTTGTGTTGTACATGGAGCCCGCCGTCAAGCAGAGTTCAAGGACGAACGCACGCGACCATACTGCCGACCGTCGTCTCAAAGATGGCTGTAGCGCCTGGATCTCTCCGCAGCACATGAACAAAAAGCACCGCTAAGCACATTACTACGACTCTCCGTTAGATGCTCCCTCCCTTAGGCCGAGCAACCCCTTACGCTACTGCTGTGGGCTCATTGAACCCCGACGTATGCTACAACTCTTGACAACACCGGCACCACACTACATACTAGCGTGCCCGGAACATACGAGTCTCAACGGCAGCGTCGACCACTACGACGGCGCACACGCGCGAAATCGCGGCCAGAGCTGACGCCACATACACACAACAACCCCGAGAACATGCCGCGTCGCCAGATGGTTCGACAGCTTTGACTTGCCAATGATGTGTTCTGTTCTCCCACTAAGCTGAGCCCCCCACATGTCTTTGCGCCATTCCAATTGGCAGCACCATTCCGGTCCGCGTGGGAACGGGCAACTACGCGGCGGCAAGCCAAGCCTGCGACACCAAGACTCATCGTACCTAGCGGGGCGGGTCAAGCAGCCTCGGCGGGATGGTGCAACGAGGACGCCTTGTTTTCCGCGGGCAGCGGCGGGAGCCACGCTCGCAGAAGACATCGGAACGGCGGCGGGCGCGCCGGCCGTGGCCTGGCGCTGGCGATGTCTGCCGTAGGCCGCCCCCAGCAACTGGCCCGCCTGTCTTGGCCGACGGCATCGCTATCGTCGTACACCCGGCCAGACGGGCATGTGGAGGCTGGAAGCAGCGTCGGCGACGTTCCCGGGCCGGGGCACGACTTGGCTTCGAAGCAAGGGGTTTCCATTCCCGAGAGAGGCGTTTCGGCCACGAGAGAAAGCTCGGCGGCACCCGGGGCGGGAAGCCGAAGGCAAGTGGCTGGGCGGGAGGCGAGGGCAGGAATGGGAGATGCTGGTTCTGCTGCTGCTGCTGCTGCTGCTGCTGCTGCTGCTGCTGCTGATGCTGCTGTTTCTGTCGGAGAGGGAAACGACGATCGGTTGGGGTGGGGGGTGGCCGATGAGGAAGAAAAGGGCGGGGATGGTGAGTGGTGTCCCCGTGCGGCCAGGGCCAGCGCGTGCGAGGCGGTGCCCCAGCTGACCGAAGCCTTTCGGGAGTTCGACGAGAAACACCCGGGCGCCACGATAATGTGAGCGTCGTGAATGACGTCGACGGAATTCACGGGCACAAACGGGGAGGACAAATTGTTACATATTGCGTCCCCAACCCTTGAAATTTAAAAACACCCAAAATATAGACAAAACACAGCCAACCATTGAATCATTTTGTCGTCTCACCCCCGGCTTGTGTCCTCGATGAACTACTTTCGCTCCCGCCACTACCTTGCGCGTGAGGAGTGCGGTTATTGTGACTCCTTCAGTACCAGAACGGAGTCACGCACTCAAAGACGTACCCGATCATTGTGGGCGGGAGAGTGAACCTCTCCCCCCCACCCCTCACAAACCTCCTCCCCACCCTTTGTACGGATGCGAGGTCAATGGTCTAACGACTACGGCATGCACGACTATGAGTACACCCCCCCCCCCCCCCTACCCTCCGCACAGATACCTTGCGCACTCGGGGTCCCGCCTGTACGGCACCAACACCGCCAAGTCTGACGTCGACCTCAAGGGGATTTTCATCCCTGACGTCCAGAAGGAGGAGGAGGCTCGGCGGGCGGCTTCGCAAGTCAAGGCTGTGGCGAAGGCTCAGGTGACGACGTGGGTCGATGGGGGGGCGTACTCGTATGTTTTGCATGCCTTAGCGGTTAGACCATTGACTACGAGAGGACGGAGTATTGTTCCCACAGGACCGATCACCGATGGCCAATGGTTCCTTCCTACTGTGGATCAATGGGGGGGGGGGGGGTGCCACAATGGTGCCTGTGGGGCGATGTTTTAGATAGCCGAGAGTGTGGTGGTGCGATGTAACAGCAGTGCAGGTTGAAGACGGTTCACAGCACTCACGAAGAATCTGCCGCGCTGAACTGGGCACAGAGGTTGATGGCGATATTATTTTGTGATAACAACAGCGACAGTTGAGTCTATGGCATGCCGCAAATTACATTACAGCAGCGGGGCATCAGAAGATGAAAGTTCCCGCTCGCAAGTGGGCCGCGATTGTCTTGAAGTGAAAAAACGCATATCCAAAAAACACCAACCTTTTAAGGACAAGTAACGACGTGCCGCAAATTACAACAGCAGGATATGGGTGGAGACACCGCCGTTCCTGGCGACGCGAAGGAGGCGCGGGTGCCGAGCTCTTCCAGCCCTGCTCTCTCCCCCAAGGGCAGCGGCAAGGGCAAAGAGATCACGTTCTGGTACTCCACCTCAAACTGCGATTCGCGTAACACCGTGGACGACGTGGACTTGGAGATCATCAGCCTTGGCAGGTTCTTCGGCCAGGTGTGTTCCTTGTTGTCGTCGTTGTTGTTGTTGGTGGTGGTGTTGTAGTTGTTGCTGATGTTGTTATTGCAGCTGATGTTGTTGTTGCTGCTGCTGCTGCTGCTGCTGTTGTTGTTGTTGTAGTTGGTGGTGGTGGTGGTGTTGCTGCTACCGTTGCTGTTGCTGTTGTTGTTGCTGCTGCTGCTGCTGCTGCTGCTGTTGTTGTTGTTGTTGTTGTTATTGTTGCGTGCCTTCCGGTTGTCTCTTACCCTGTCCAATCGTCTGCCACCTCGTAAAATCGCCGTCTTGCAACCCTTCCCCATCGTCCTTCGCCCTGTCCTGCCGTCCTTCGCCCTGTTCAAAACCCCGCCCCCGCGTCGCCGCCTCCCACGCGCGTGTGGTCAGCTGATTCGGGGAGAGATCGGGGGTGTGGAGACGCTTCACTCGATGCTGGTCCGCGATGTGGAGCTCATCTCCGACCCTGAGGTACGCACGCGTAGCGGGTGGGGGGGCGCTACCGAGACAACATGAGTTTTGGTGTGTACCCCGGCAGGCGTATTGGGAGCAACCGGCGTTGCCGCGATTGTTGCATCTATTGGGTGATTGATCCCGTGAGGCAAGTGAAAATTGTTGTGCGAGGGCAAGGGGTAGATTTGTTCGAGAGGTGTGTAGATGGAGGTGGACGTCGACCCCAGTGGTGGAAACGGAGGCGTAGTGATTGGTCAAGCATGGCTGGATGCGTGCCATGCGCTGGTTTTGTGCCCCCAAGTACATACTTCGAAGCGGGTGCGCTCCATCTCAAAATTCTGGGTCCTCGATTCCCAACCACTTTCTCGTACAACTGGTAAAAGCACTACCAAAACTGTAGGACGGTAGTCTCAAGTATATAGTATTTTGCCCTTTGAAAGAAGTTTAAAATTCTGAACTTCCAGCTCAAAGGTGTGTGTGTGTTGCGTTGATTAATTGATTTGTTTTTTGCTTCTTGCCAAGATGTCAGAGCAAGGTTGTCTGTGTGGCTGCGTTGGACGCGTGTCCTCGCACTGTGTTTTGCGCAACCAACGGTTCCTGTCAACAGGTTGGGCTGGTTGGAGCCAGGATCTGCGGCCGGTTGAGGAGTTTCACCGCTCTTGACCGCCATCTCTTGTGGTTGCGTGTCTCCTCTTTTTTCCCTCCACTCCACCAATCAGATGGCAGGATACCTGTGATGGTACCCAGAGTATCCCACACCGACAATTTTTTGGCTCCCTGCATGTGGCTAATTTGTGGCTAATTTCTTCCCCGCTTGCCAACACCTTTGCCGGGGACTCCGCGCTTTTATGTTCTTGGGATACCCTGCCGGCACCAACAACATTCTAACCGGCGAAACCCCTGGCTTGGCTTGGCTTGGCTTGGTTTGGCCAATCAGATCGTTCCGATTGTCGTGCGGGAGCGGCGGTGGATGGTGTCCAGCCGGCTGGCGAGCTGGATGGGGTTCATCTTGAGCCACATCCACAAATACCGGAGGGTCACCCAAAAGTCGAACGCGGCGCGGTTCAGGCACAAGGCCTTCTTGCGGAAGCGCAGCCTTAGCGCCGCCGCCAAGCCCCCACCGGCGGCAGCAGCAGCAGCAGCAGCAACGGCAGCAGCACCGACATCAAGGGGACCGGGAGTTGCAGCTCCGACCGGCGAAGGCAGCAGCAACACTAGCAATAGGGTCACCACGGTTTCGGTAGCACCGCAAGCCGCGGCAGGCGCGAGGGTTGGAAATCGCGTAGCGGATCGACCGGCGGAGACGGGTCCCACCGGCACGGACACCGAAGATAACTCCTCGCTCAATCTGGTTTCGGCCTCGGGTACGTTGGAGGCGTCAACAACAGCTGCGGAGATGCAGAATAAGAGGGTGAGTGCCGAGGAGCCAGCGGGAGAAGCCGGAGATCCGTCACGGGTTTCGTCGAGAGGGGGGGGAGGCGAGGGCGCGGGGCAGAAGAGTAAGGCAGTAGACACGGCTCCTGCCTGGGTCGCGGTGGGGGATAAAGAACCTCCCGTCCGGAAGCTGGGCGTTATTGGGAGGAAGAAGGCGCCGACAAGAGTCGTCAAAGATGTCGCTCCTGAGGAAGCTCCACGATTAGGCGTGATGTCAAGGCCGGGGACAGGGGATGTTGAGAGCAGAGGCGCGGCTTCTTCTCAGGGGGCTCGCCGGCTAGGAGTGTTGTCTAGGGGGGGGGTAAAGATGGGTGGCGAGAGGGTAGCGGAGCAGGAGGTACATGAAGAGGAGGAAGAGGAGGATTGGGAGGAGAAGGAGACGGCGAGGACGTTGAAGCGAGGGAAGCTGCTGATGCACGCCAGGAGAGGGGTCATGGAGGCCGAGGAACTGCTGACGGCGGGAAGGTTATCATTCCCGCTGAAACCGCGGTACGTAGAGGAGCTCCGGCGCCTGAAGGTGAGCCGGTCGGGGGGGCATGAACATGCCGCGACCTCTTTCCTAGGCAGGCTACCCGTTGTGGTGCGGGCGTTGTCACCAGAAGGTTTATTTTTTCTGTTTTGCCGTATCTGCTGCTGTTGCGCTTGCTGTCGTCGTTGTTTCTCCTCCTTGCACCCTCGCGGAGCCCGATTATGTGGGGCGTGTGAAGTGAAATGTATTGGCATGGTTAGCCCGCGGGCCCACGCAATGTGTCTAGAGAATATAGGGCGGTAAGAGGGTATGTTTCTTCAGAGGATATGTTACCCCCTACTTTGAATATGATCATTTTCCTCTCATGTGCAGGCCTTGGGCACGAACAGCTTGGAAGCGTTGTAGAAGTGCACTTGGATGGGTTTGTGCACTGTCTCGGCGACGCCTCGAATTTCACGTAGGAATTAAGACCACCTACAGTACGCACCGAGTACATTCGAGGCAAAGACACTATAATACTAACCTCCGTGGTCACAACAAGCCACAGTCCCTCAATGAAAATGGGAGAAAGGTTGGCTTGGCTTCACGTCATTTTCTGCTTTTTTTTCTCTCTCTCCCAGGAGTTGGACATGGGCCCCAAGAAGTTGTCATCAATCCAAGCGCAAGCGAAACAGCTGTCCGCCGTGGCTGCTACCTCCGGCCTGCCAGCGCAAGTCAGCATGGAGAAGCTCAGGGCTGTCCAGGAGGAGGTGATGAGGGTGCACGATCAAAGACGACGAAGAGGAGTTGGACCGCTTCCCGCGGTAGAGGCTAAATAAGACAAACTTTAAGCGGGGCTGCTAAGGACACAGCCATCAGCAAGATACCTGCTAAGGACACAGCCATCAGCAAGATACCCCACTCGGAACGGATGTGCCCTCCTTTTGTATGCGCAACAACAAAATGTTGTAGCACTCGTACACCTGTACTCCACGCTGCCCCGTTTTTTTTTTCATCACTTTTAGTCCGCGCTCACAGCATTTCTGCAGGGTAGGAGCTTCCAATCCGTGGTCACACAGAAGGGCTCCTCTCCCGGGGGCCCCCTGGGGGTGCGTGCCGGTTTTGTACCATTTTTTGTAGGATGTGTTGTTGGCCAGGTGGACGTTGGCGACGCCTCCTTTGGGCGGCATTGGTTGGTTTTGTTGCTCGCCCAGGGCGCGGGGATCGTGCTAAATCGTGGTATCAATTTTGTCGAATGTCTTCTTGGCCAGATGGACGTTTACCGTAAGGTTGCGAGTCAGCGCACAGGGGTGCGAGCGATTTTCAAAGCGTAGTTTCTCCACAACCCGGAGGTTGCCACTGTCGAAGAGGGCGGTTCTGGAAATATCTCATCGAGAGCTTTCCTGGGAAGTATCAGTTGGCGCGCGCACCCATCTGGTTGTGGAGAAATTAGGCTTTGAAAATCGACCGCACCCCTGTGCGCTGACTCACAACCTTACGGTACATTCGGCGGGGGCATCGTAAGGGTTTGGCATGTTGCCTAGGGTGCGCGGATCGTGAAAAAACTGTTTCAATTGTTGCTTGTCTTGGTCGCATGGACGTGGACGACGCCTCCGTTCGTCGAGGGTGTAAGGGCTTGGCATGTTGCCCAGGGTATGAGGATCGTGAAACACTGCTTCAATTGCAACATGTTTCGGTCGGATGGACATCGACGATGCTTCTGTACCCGGGAGTTCTAAGGTTTTACCTAACTCGGTATATGGTCGTGACGCCACTGTTCGTCACCTCCGTGGAGACGGGTCGTCCCTCTTACCCCATTTTAGATTACTGGAGCAGATCGAAGGGGTACGTGTGCCGTCCGTCCGTGTGCGACGTGTTTTTTGGCAACTCAACCGGTCAGCGCACATGAATGACCAGCGGGTGTAGTTCCCGGCTCGTTCGTTGTCCCTATGTTTGCAGGTCAACAGCGGTGTTTATTTTGTCCACCCCCCGCTGTACCACCGTGCTGTCCTCTCCGGTGTTACGGTGCCAGCCGGGTCTTGGCCTCCTTTCAAACCAAGCGCCCATTGGGACAAGACCACGGACGTTTGGGGATACTGAAGCGCTAGAAACTGCAGCGACCCACGCACAGTTCCAAGACTTGCAAGTCTAGTATACGAATATACCAAATCTTCGTGTGCTGCCAAGTCCATTGTGGAGACCCTCCGGAAGCAGCAGCTTAGAAAAGCAGCGCGGGCGCGTTGATTGGCTAGTGATTGCGACAGCGTCAGTGCGCACGCCACCCTGCCCAATGCAACGAGTTGGATTTCCTGTGCCGAAAAGCGTGATACAACCAGTCGTTATTAACCTTTAAACCTCTCGTCGCCTCTTCTCGCACGTCACCCATGTCTTTCCCTTTCATCCCCCCCCTGCTCCTCGTCTACCGGCCCCCCTGCCTGACACATACACTCGTGGTCTCGGTCCATGCTGCTGCTGTCTTGCCCGAAAAAAAATCACATGTTGTCTCTGGGTAAGGTCGCATAGTTCGTGCCACGGGACTCGGCCGGCTTTACACCGGGCACCAAGCACTGTCCAGGGTATCGAGACGACTTGAATACTCCCCGATCCGCGTGTGTCCCTCGATTTCACCGCCCCATGTACAGCAGGGCAACCGGTCCTGTCCTCTGCGACCTCCCATACGAAGGGAACCGTAACTGCTGTCTGCATGCAGAAGACTGCATGAGCACGCCTCTTGACAACGAAACCATCAGAAAACGGGAATTATCCCTTCAGAAGACCACCGCGGTTGCCTTGAGGAAAGCTACGTTGTTGCCAATGCAGAAGAATCATACTCCATGAGTACAAAACTTAACGAAAGCGTGGCTGCGTGGCTGCGGGGCGGGGGGGCGGGGGCGGGGGCGGGGGGGTCGAGAGGCCAAAACTCGAGGTGTGCTAGCTTAGCTCCTCCTGTCATCTTCTTCTGCCTGCGGACCTCTTCGCCTCGTCACGAACCTCATCCACGATACCCTCCTCCCCTTCGCCGTCATCCGGCCCGGCGGCGAGATTTTTCCCGAACCTCGCGCCTCCCAGCAACCCGGGAACGCTTTCTCCCATCCCCGCCCCCCGCGGTCGTAACAGCGCCTCCTCCTCCTCCTCCTCTTCCCCGCCACCGCTGCCTCCTGTGCCCTCTTTCGACGACTTCCCCAGCCAGTCGTCATCATCGAACGATCCCCACTCGTCTCCTGTTTCGTTTAATGTTCGCGCACGGTGAAAATGCATGATGGATGTTGTGGAATGGGTGGCATAAGCGCCACCATGATGCTGACAGGGGGTTGGATGGAAGCGGCTGTCACGCGGCAGGGCAGGAAGCACGGGCGCCTTGGGGGGTAGGCCAAGGGAGAACGCGTCAAGAGTCGGCCGACGCGAGGACCTTCACTTCTTTTCCTCTTGCATCACTTCAAATCAGCGCTCACACACGGCATTTCTGCCTGGTCGGAGCTCCAATCCGTGGTCACACAGAGTGGTTCCTCCCCTACCAACCCACCGCTCCTGCGGTGCTTGCCTTCGAGTTTTTAAAGCGAGAAAGCGCAATACTCTCTCTTCCCTTCAGAGTGGGAGAAAAAAAAACAGATGGCACACAGCCTAGCACACACAGCCACACACGAGAAGGAGGCGCAACGACACAGCAAGAGGCACCACGAGTATTGCGGGCCGATGTGTTCTGCACCCCGATCAAGGACGACCGCTAGACGCCGCTCACCCGTATCACTCTCTTCTTCCTCTTCCTCTTCCTCTTCCTCCGTCGCCAGCACCGAGGGGGGACGCGGCATAGAATCGCTAGAGTAAGCTCGTACGTCTGAGAACGCGTCGCTCATCTCCCCGACGTCCGCCGCGACCTCTTTCTCGAGCTCGGACAGCTGCGGCACGCCGGACCCGAAAGCGCCTCCGCTTAAACTGCCACCGCCACTGTCGCCTGTGGTAGAAGGGGGGAGGGGTTGGGTGAACGCATGCCGTAGGCGTTTAGACTATCGACCTCGCATGCCTATAATGCCGGGGACGGAGCGATAGCTATGCCGGGTTTTCACCGGCCCAGGCTTATGTACGTTTCACAAGGATAAACCAGGGTCACTATCCTTGGGGGGGGGGGGGGGGGGCAGCTTAGCGAGAGTCTGCGGCTTTTGGGCCGAACGTATCATGGGCAGCGGGAGAAGCATGCAAGCACAGCATCAGCACGACACGAGGCATGAAAACAACAATAGTAACACCACCATCTACGGACGTTCGCAACAGACAAATTGAGGGCACACGAAGTTTTCCAAACCTAAAGATTGCACTCAAGCATTCATCAGTAAACGAGCTGTTCATGCCAATTCGAGCCAACAATCAATGAGACAGCAGTTGCCTAGTGCTTCTTTCTATGGATCCACTGCTAATGGACGCTGATCCGTGGATAGAGAGATTAAATCGTTGTGCAGAAAAAAAAGAAAAAGAAACAGTTGCCGTTTCTGGAACACGCACCGCTTCCACCGGCGGGTCCGCCGAGAGCCCTCGCCATCTCCGGAGACTCGAGGGGCCCTCCGGACGAGAACAGGTGAGGGGCCTCGCGAGACTCGGCTTCCATCGCGCCGCCCGGGCCGGCGAGGCGGTTGAGCTTGCGCCGGAGGTCTGCTTCGTCGGTGTAACCGCCATCGTCCAAATCGTCCAAATCGTCCAAATCGTCGTAGTCGGAGTCGAGTTCCATTCCTCCCTCGCTCATGCCGAAACCTCCAGAGACAAAGTCGTCGTCGCTGTCGCTGTCGATGACATCGTTGTTGTCGAAACCGTCGCCGGTTTGACCGAGGCCTCTGGCAGCGAGCGCGTTTTGGATCTTTCCTGACCTCAGAAGATTCTTTTTTTTTTTCGGAGCAATCATAGGTGTTGTTGCCGCAGCGGTAGTTGCAATAGCGGGGGTGGTAGAAGCGGCGCCAATTCGCCGAAAACAGCAGTAGAATGGGGACGAGGAGGAAGAGGTGAGACCGAAGGGTTGGAAGCAGCAGGACGGAGAAAGAGGTGTCGACGAGCGCCAGAACGAAAGCATCGTTCATCGAGTCCGTGGAGACAACAAAAACAACTGTGGGAGGGGAGAGTAACCTTATTCGCACGTGTTTTTGCGTTTCAAGATTATAGTCAACATGAGGCACGGGATATAGACAAAATTAGTCCATCACCGTACACCCGCAATTCTTACGCCCTCACGCAAAAACACACAGCCCTGATTTCTTCAAGGACTGCAGAAAAAAACAAGACAACTTCTCGTGCTACACGAACAAAAAAAAATCCAGGTCAACCCTTTTAGGGGAAAGGGCAAACACGGGCGGAACTTTTTTCGTTTCACGTGTCCCTTGGGAGCGTCCCTGGGCAAAAAAGATAGCCCTGACTCCTTCAAAATTCATTACAAAAAACAGGGAGAGAGAGACGGTTTCACATGCGTTGCACGATAACTTGTCTGTTATTAACCATAAGAAGGGGATGGGGAAACGCGTGCGGCACATTCTTTCGCTTCACCTGTCCCTTGAGAGCGTCCGTGAGCTTCCTGATCTCCGCTTTCTCCTCGGTGTCCATGGTAGCGTCCGGGTGCATCTGCTTGTTCCACAGCCCAGAGGCGGTGGCGCGGCGCAGCTCCAGATCTTCAGCCTCGTACTCTCTCAGACGACGCAGCTTGTTTTGCGCCAGTGACGACGGTGTTGAGGGGAAAGGGAAGAAAATAAGGCCAACGGGTGGGGGGGCTGGTAGAGTACAGGTAGACCCCCTGTTTTTTTTGTAGTTGATCCAGAGGGGGGGGGGGGTGCTCGTGGCTTAGACTATTGGTCAAGAGATAAGCACACCTCACTTTCTCTCTCTCGTTTGTTTGTGCGGGACGGCGGCGTTCGCCACCACACATCAACTTTCTGCGCCATTCGATTACCAATGGAGGGGTTAGAGGGCATGGAAACGCTCGTGGCTAAGATGTGTCAAGCAATAAGCACACATCAACTTATGTGTGATTTGTTTATTCGGGAAGGGGGGGGCATGGAAACGCTCGTGGCTAAGATGTGCCAAGCAATAAGCACACATCAACTTATGTGTAATTCGTTTATTCGGGAAGGGGGGGGCGCGGAAACGCTCGTGGCTAACATGTGTCAAGCAATAAAACACTAGATCAACGTCTGTTTCTTTCGTTTATCCGGTGAGGCGGGGCATGGAAACGCTCGCGGCTATAAGACAAACCCAACAGACCCGCACACATCTCCTTCCGTGTCACTAATTCATCCACAAAGGGGGGACACTAGAACGCCCCGTCACTTAGACAAATCAAGAGATAAAAGCACACATATCTCACTACATGTAATTTTATCTAGGAAGAGGAAACACTACAATACAACAATCGTCGCTGAGACAAACCCAAGACATAATGCAGGCGCCCCACGGCCCATACCATGCCATCTTCTTGCGGAACAGCCGTTAAATTAGTTGCAAAACCTGCGTGCACCCCACTGACATCAGTGCGTTACCTCCGTGCTGTCCTCCTCCGCCTTCTTGGCAGCCCAGTCGTCGATCTCCTTGGTGAGGACCGCCATCCTCTCCTCCGACATGAGAACTTTCAGGTTCTCGCCGATCTCGAGAACCTGGTCATGGGTTTCGGAGGCGCACGCGGGGGCGTGTGCGTATGGCGCCGCGGGCAACGGGGGGCGGGAACACCGTTCGAGGGGGTACGAGCATCAGCAACAGCACCAGTAGCAGGAGGGAATCGGCCTTTCGCAGAATAGTTCGCGGTGTTGGGGGAGTTCTTAGTCTATGCTTGCCGTAGTAGCACCTACAATAAACCATTCCTTTCGGGACCGAGCCTTGAGAGGGGGCATGAAACGTTCGCTTCGTGTTCTCTGGAAAACAGCGAAAATAAATAGCAAACTTCGTGGTAGGTTGCCTGTAGGTTTGGCTCTGCTTTTTTACTCGATATTGACCGACCGGACACCATCGAATTTTCCTCTTGCGGTCGCCTTCTGCGTGACCTTAACCAAGAGCAGCCCTACGCTTTTGAACAAAAAGTCACCAAAGGGAGGAAAAAGGAGACATCAAACAAAACCGAACCTCCTTCGCGAGGGTATTAAGCTTTGTTGGTGAACTAGACAGGACCCCCGTCTAAAGGATGTTAAGCCGTGTTTGTGAAATAGAGAAGACCTCCGTCTAAAGGATGTTGAGCTTTGTTGGTGAAATAGAGAGGACCTCCGTCTAAAGGGTGTTAAGCTTTGTTGGTGAAATAGAGAGGACCTCCGTCTAAAGGATATTAAACTCTGTTGATGAAATAGAGAGGACCTCCGTCTAAAGGATATTAAACTTTGTTTGTGAAACAGAGAGGACCTCCGTCGAAAGGATATTAAGCATTGTATGTGAAATAGAGAAGACCTCCTTTGCGAGGATATTAAGCATTGTATGTGAAATAGAGAGGGGGGTTTCGTATCCCTCACCCCCAACCCGTATCCCTCACCCATACTAAAACCAAGATGAATTATATCCTCGCGAAGGCTGCTGCGAAACCCTTACACACGAATAGCACCCCAAACACAGCAAACCAAACCAGCCAGCAAGAGCCGTTGCCACCCCTTCTTTGCACGTTGTTGCTCTAGGAGGCAGTAGTGCGGGACCGCAGTTCAAGAAAAAACCCGTTAAAAAAAAAAAAACGCTCTCTAATGTTGACGAAAAAAAACAATGGGGAAAGAAGGACAGGTATCTCAGCCGAGGATCCTACACTAAACTCAATACAATTGCAATAGCCTACACTAAACTCAGTACAATTGCAATAGCCTACACCAAACTCAGTACAATTGCAATAGCCTGTAATCGACGGTGGTGACAGGCTACTGTGAGCCTTGACCAACCCGATCTTGATGTTTATTGTCGGTGCCCCTGCACTGCTGTATTGACGCCTATCGTACCATGTTACCAGTATATCTCACCATAGACCGAAGGTCTTGATCCATGCAGTTGTCCCCCATCGCCTCATAGTAGTCCACGATGTTGGTGGCGGTACGCTTGAAGCCCCGGATGTACATGGACGGGAGCGTCGAGATGGTGATGTTGAGGAGCGCAAGCCGCTCTTCCGGCTCTTTCATCCGAAGCACGTGGGAAATCAGCTGTGCAGGGGGGGGGGGGGGGGGGGGTCC